TTGGGCAATCTACTTCTGTAGTGATACCGCCTTGGAAACCCAAAGGAGGGGTTGCTATGAGTTGAGTCTGACTCGATGGCACAGAACAACAACAACAAATGAGGTTTACTAGGGAAGGACCTGGAACTAATCAAGACACAGTTCTTTGGTCAGGACAGCCTCTTTTCAGCTGTGTCTACATGCAGTCCTCTCTCTGGTCTTGCAGCCCCTCAGCCTGTCCTCTGCCCCACTCAGGCAGGTGTTATAAACCTCTTTTAGCTCTGCTAATAAGTGTCCAGAGGCACCTCATTCCTCCAAGTAAGCCTTGGCACAGAGGTTCTCAGCTCTCTCACTCCATGGGTTGGCAAGCTTAGCTCCATAGACCAGTGCCCAGAGGCAGCCCGCTCTACCAGCAAGCCTCCTGCCTGAAGGCACTCAGCTTTCTGGCTCTGTGGGCAGGGAATTCTACTGCACCATCTCCTGCCAGTCTTCTGACACTGCTGCCTCTGCTGTCCCCATTCCTCTGCTGCTGCTTCTCACTGTCTCTGGCTGTCGCCAGTATTATAGCTCTCTCTGTCTCCTGGGTCTAGGAGGCTCTCCGTGTAGGGATCCTAGATCCAGAAGACATCCTCTGCTCCTGCCTCTTCTTTCTTGGTGGTAATCAGATCCTCCTTCTCTGCTCATTTCTCTCTCTACTCTACAAAAGTCTTTTATAAGATAAAAAGTGTGACTCAAGCAAGGATGGTGACTTGAGTAAAATTGATGACCTGAGTTCATCTCACCCTAATCCTGCCTCATTAACATAACAAACATAATGTAATCCTGCCTTGTTAACACATAGAGGGCAGGATTTACAACACACATAATGGAGAATAATTATATCACATCATAAGATGGAGGACACCCACACAATACTGGGAACCATGGCCTAGCCAACTGACATATAACCCCAACCATCGCAGGGTCCATATGTCTTATTTGCATAGTCTCACCCAATAGTCATGTGGGTGTCGAAAGGACTATGGCTAGAAGGACAATATTAAGTAATTCACCGCACTCTGTGTGTGTGTGTGTGTGTGTGTATATATAT